TCTCCCATAAAGGACCCCCCCCCCCCTGGGCCGCATCCCCCTGCATGCATCGCCCCTCCTCCCGAGGCCACGACCCCTCGTAAGCAAAGCATGGGGCCGCGCGCGATGAATGTGCGCCCCAAGCCTCGACGAGAGTCCGGGCAGGTAGCCGAGGACATCCAGATGGCCCAAGATGCCTCGAATACGGCCGAACAGGCCCCCACGGCGGTCCAATGACCCCAAGACGGCCCAATGACCCCAAGACGGCCCAAGATGCCTCAAAGAGGGCCCAGAAGAGCCCCAAGCCGTTCTCCAACAAAGTCCGGCGAAGGCAACATCATTGATGCACCTCAGAGTTTTGAGCGACTATGCTATTCTCGTTTTGGGGGGCCTCGGTCTGACCAACACGGGACAAGAAACCTCCACGATGGCTCCTCCCTCCCCGAAGCGCCCCCCCGATGTCCATGCAGACCGTTGTCCCAGGCGGCGGACATGGATACACCCCGCGAAATGCTTAAGAAATCATGGGTTAAGAAATTCATAGTCTCAGAACTTGAATAAAACCCAAAATGTCTATTCAAATCTTAGGATTTACATTAAAACATTAAGAATAATCGAGACTCTGGCCGAACATTTAAGATTTCTTAAGCATTGTCTAAGGTGTATATCCCCGCCTCGTGTTCCTGCCTTCACCCCCCATCCCCCCGAGGAGTGCCTCGATCGGTCGGAGCAGTAAAAGTGGCCGAAGCTTACCAGCAGAGCTGAGCAGCGCAGCCGCATGTTGCTCTATCAGCGACTACGTCAAATAGGCCGTGACTCGATGCAGTCGAACAGCTATCACAATAAGGACTGCCACGTACATGACATTTAGCCAACGTGGACCCCAATCAATGTGTTTCTAGTATTCGGTATAGTGTAATATATATATATATATATGCAGTGGGATCTAAATTGTGCAATCTATCTTGTGAAATATATGTGGTGCAATCTACGTGGTGCAATGTGTATTGTTCACTCTATGTGTTGCATTCCGTGTGGTGCAAACTATGGGATTCGATATCTGTTGTGAAAGCTATGTGACGCAGTCTGTGATGCGAACTATGTGGTGCAACTTTTGTAGTGGAATGCATGTTGTAAACTCTACGTGATGCACTCTATGCTGTGTAATACATGTGGTGCGATCTATGCGATTAAACATACGTTGTGCAATCTACGTGGTGCAGCCGAAATGGTGCAATCGATATGCTGGTGGCTATGTTGTGCTTTCGATGCGGTGATCTACATTTCTATATCGATGTATATCTATATATATATATATGTGGTGCAGCATTTGATATCTCTCTCTCTCTATATATAGATGCTCGTCCCCCCCTGTGATCATACATTTCGTTTTTTTTTCTCGTCGTCGTCGTCGTCGTCCTCGTCGTCGTCGTCGTCCTCGCCTCCTCCTCCTCCTTCTCCTCCTCCTCCTCCTTCTCCTCATCTCCCTCCCCATCATCCCCCCTCATCCTTTCTCCTCCTTCTTCCTCCAATATTCTCTTTATTGTCTTCCTTCTACTCCTCCTCCTCCTCCTCCTTCTCCTCCTCCTCCTCCTCCTCCTCCTTCCCCTCCCTCTCCTCCTGCCCCTCTCCCTCCTCCTCATCCTCCTCCTCCCCCTGTGCCTCCTCCCTTTCCTCCTCTTCCTCCCGTTCCTCCTCTCCTTTCCCATCTTCTCCATTCGCCTTGCCTTCGATACTTCCCACTTCTTTCTTTGTCAGCCCTCCCCATCGTATGCTGCCCACTCTCTGTCCGCATCGGTGTCGTTCCTTCCCGCTGCAGTTCTTTCTATGATTCTTCCCTTTTCCTTTTGATTATGTTCGTTATCCTCCCGAGCCTCCCTCCTCCCTCACCCCTCGTCCCTCCTCCTCCCTCCCACCCTTCTCCGTTGCAGGGCCTCGTCATCTTCCACACCTTCGCAAGCTTCCTTACCGCCCTCGTTCCTTCTACTCTTTATTGTCCCTCCTACTCTTCATTATCATTGTCGTTCCGTCTACTCGTTTATCGATGATCCGACTTCTCTGCATATGTTCGTCGTTCCTTCTATTCTCCATCGATCTTGGGGGTCTCCCACAAAACTCCCACAACACGAATCAATAGTTGGAGGCCCCTCCACAAAAGGAATCAATATGCAGGGGCCTCCACATATTGATTCCGTCTGTGGAGGGACCTCCACATATTGATTCGTTCTGTGGCGGCCGATCTCTTTTTCCTCCTCCTCCTCCTTCTGTCCTCCTCCCCCTCCTTCTCTCACTCCGGCGCAGGGGTTGAGGAGAAGAATGATCAGAAGGAGTAGGAGGAGAAAGATGAGGAGGAGAAAGATTATATTGTTTTCTTTTGTGGGGGATCCTCCACATATTGATTCCTTGTGTGGAAGGGACCTCCACATGTTGATTCCGTCTGTGGAGGGACCTCCACATGTTGATTCCCTATGTGCAAGGGGTCTCCATATTGATTTCTTTTGTGGAGGGTCCTCCCACTTGTTGATTCCTTATGTTGGAAGGGGTCTGCACATATTGATTCCTTATGTGGATGGGCCTTCAAATTATCGATTCTTTAAGTTGAGGGGCCTCCACATGTTGATTCCGTCTGTGGAGGGACCTCCACCAATTGAGTTCTTTTGCGGCGGGCGATTTCCTTTTCCTCCTCCTCCTCCTCCTCCTGCTCCTCCCCCTCCTCCTCCCGCTCTGGCGCAGGGGTTGAGGATAAGGAGGAGCAGGAGTAGGAGGAGAAAGATGAGGAGGAGAAAACTGATATTGTTTCTTTTTGTGGCGGGGTCTCATCCATATTTTTCCTTATGTGCAAGGGGCCTGGCGCATATTGATTCCTCTTGTGGAAGGGACCTCCACATGTTGATTTCGTCTGTGGAAGGACTTCCACATAATCATTTCTTAGGTCAAAGGGGTCTCCACATGGATTTCTTATGTGGATGGGCCTTCGAACATAGATTCGTTATGTGGAGGGGCCTCCACATATTGAGTTTGTCTGTGGAGGGACCACCGCATATTGATTCCTTATGTGCAAGGGGTCTCCATATTGATATCTTGTGTGGAGGGGCCTCCAACATGTTGAATCCTTATGTGGGAGGGGCCGTGAGTGATGAGTTCCTTATGTGAAGGAGCCTGTACAGTTTGATTCCTTATGTGGGAGGCCCTTCACATATCGACCCCTTATGTGGAGGGGCCTCCACATGTATTCTTTGTGTGGAGTAGGAGGAGAAAGATGATGAGGAGGAGGAGGAAGAGTAGGAGGCGGAGGTGGCCACGGGGGAAGCGGATTTATAAAACGATTCCTTTTGTGGCGGGGCGGGGTACATAGAATGGGAGGAGAGGAGAGGAGGAGGAGGAGAGAGAGAGAGAGAGTGTCAAGAGAGGGAGGAGAGAGACAGAGGGAGGAGGAGAGGGAGGAGGAGAGAGAGAGAGAGAGGAAGGGAGAGGAGAGGAGGAGAGAGGGAGAGAGAGAGAGAGAGAGAGAATGAGAGAGAGAGAGTCAAGAGAGGGAGGAGGATAGAGAGAGAGAGAGAGTCAATAGAGAGAGAGAGGGGGGGAGAAGAAAAGAGGAGAGACAACGAGAGAAGGAGGAACGGAATTCGGCAGAAAACGGGCGGGAACGTTGAGTCAAGGAGTCGGCTAGGCAGAGGAGACGGAGGAGGGTGTTTGTTTTCCTTGTGTTCCTCCTCCCCGCCCTCGGAGGCGGAGCGTTTTCCTTTTTTCCATGTGAAAACACAGGGTTGTTTTTGTTTCCTGTTTTTCGCTCTCCCGTTCGGCCCCTCGGGGTTTCCCCGCCGCCCCAGGGGGGGCCCGAAAAAGAGGAAAAACAACAAATGTGAAAAAGACTGTGTGTTCACATGGAAAAAAAAACAAAAAAAACTCCACCTCCGAAGGCGGGGAGGGGGAAACAAGTGAACAAAACACCCTCCTCCGTCTCCTCCGCCTACTCCTCTCCCCCCTACTCCTCTCCCCCCTCTGGTATCATATCATTCGCCGTTCGCAGTCGCCTTAGGGAGTAGAAGGGGGGGAAGGGTAGGCTGAGGAGACGGAGGAGGGTGTTTTTTTCCACTTGTGTTCCTCCTCCCCGCCCTCGGAGGCGGTGTGTTTTTTTTTTTTTTTTTTTTTTTTTTTTTTTTTTTTTTTTTTTTTTTTTTTTTTTTTTTTTTTTTTTTTTTTTTTTTTTTTTTTTTTTTTTAAAAAAAAAAAAAAAATAATTTTTCCATGTGAAAACATAAGTTTTGTCATATGCTTCCTGTTTTTCTGTCTCCCGTTCGGCCCCTCAAGGTTTCCCCGCCGCCCCAGGGGGGGGAGCGAAAAACAGGAAAAAGGTATTTTTGTTTGTAAAAACAAAAAACAGAATACAAAAAACTGTGTTTTCACATGGGGAACAAGGACAAAAACTCCGCCTCCGAGGGCGTGGAGAGGGGGGGGGGGGGAACCCTCCTCCGTCTCCTCCGCTTACTCCTCCGCTTCCTCCTCCCCCGTCTCCCCAAATGGAGAAACAGACAAGGGCAGGGCGTTTTTTTTCTTTTTCCACCCTCCCCGCCCTCTGAGGCGAAATTTGTTCCTGTTTCTCGAGGAGACGGAGGAGAGGTGTTTTTTTTGTTTTCCTCCTCCCCGCCCTCGAAGGGGGAGTGTGTTTCCTTCTTTTCCATGTGAAAACACAAGTTGTTCTTCATATGTTTGCTGTGCTTCCTGTTTTTCGGTCTCCCGTTCGGCCCCCGCGGACACCCTCCTCCGTCTCCTCCGCTTAGTCCTCCCCCCCTACTCCTCTCCCCAGAGATGAGGAGAAGGAGGAGGAGGAGGAGGAGGACGACGACGACGACGACGAGGAGGAAAAAAACTAAATGTATGATCACAGGGGGGGCGACCATATATATATATATATATATATATATATACATATTGTGCAGTACAGGTGGTGCAACATATGCGGCGTTAACAATGTTTCGCAAGCCACGAGGTGCACCCTATCTGGTGCAGTCATTGTGGTGCAATGCGTGCGGTGCGATCTATGTTGTGCAATCCAGGGCGGCGGCGAGGCGGCGTCGGGGCGGCGACGATGGCCACATGGCCGCCAGTCCGAAGACACGGCCCAGACGACGGGCGGCGACGAGGCGGCGACGGGGCTGCGATGGCGGCCAAATGACCGCCCGACCGAAGACGCAGCCCAGTTCCTCAGAGCAGGAATACTGTCCCCGCGACACGTCAAAGCGAAACTATCAACTTTTTCCGAGCGGTTCGCGTTCGATTTCGCTTTCTTAACTATTAACTTTTTCGGGGGAGCTTCGCTTTCGCTTTCGCTTTCCTAACAATTAACTATCATTTTCTGCGCTTCGCTTAATCATTCCCGCCGTCGCCTGAACTTGTCCCTTGCGGCCGCGCCTTCACCTAATTATGAATCGCGCGCCCACTGGGATTCAATGGTTTCGGTACCGAAGGCAAGTAGTATGTAAGATGTGGCAACAGTCCAACCACATTATCATGCTCCGTCAAATCCGTACTGTTGCATTAGATTTGTTTTTTGTTCGAGGCATCTTTACCCAAACCATATGATATTATGCTGGCTGCTGTTGCCCAGCGTGGGCCTTCAGTAGTGGTTCTTTGGTTCCTAGCAATGCACGTGGGGAAACCTATGTCGTGCAATGTATGAGATGCGAGCTACATGGTGCAATCTATGTGGTGCCATCAAGGTTGTGGGACACATGTGGTGCGATGTATGTCGTTCAATATATGTAGCGCAACCTATGTGGTGCAAGATGCGTGGTGCGATGTATGCGCCCATATTGATGTGGCGCAACCTATGTGGTGTAAAGTTTGTGGTGGGAGCTGCGTGGTGCAAAACATGTGGTGCAATAGCTGCGATGCTGTCCATATGGTGCAATATATGTGGTGCAAGCTACGTAGTGCAATCTATGTGGTGTTAGCTATGTGGTGCAATCTATGTTGTGCAATCTACGTGGCACGTGGCAATCCATGGCGTGGCGAACGACGAGTGCGCGAAGCAGCCCGAGAAGAAGCGGAGTTATCATTTGTACCCGCCCGAGGTGGTTGATTTCTATTTCGGTTTCGAGAAGGACATGGGGGGGGCCCGCTCGAAAGTTGTCGACTTCGTCAAGAAACACTACCCCTCCCTGTTCCCGAAGACCTTCTGTGAAAGCCGAGTTCGCGCCTGGGAAAAGACGCACCATCGTCCTGACAACGGGAACGCTGCTGCTGGGCAGGGATGGCGTTTGGGCCAGACTGTCTTGCCAGTCGGCCATTTGGCATTCATCGGCTCCCTCATCGTATCGCAGTACAACGCCGGAATTCCCATGACCGCGCGGCTCCTCGTTCCCCTCGTAGCAGGGGCATCGGTGGCGAAGGGGCTCGGGACAAGGTGTCGCATTCGCAATTGAATCGCGCGCTCATCCTGGTTATCATGCGCATGTGATTCCGCTTTGTGGCAGCACTCCCTGGTGTTTTTTTTGGTGCGCGTGACATCGCGCTGCTCTGTCAACGCGATAGATCAGGACGTGGAATGCACGAACGGACCATGCTGCTACCACGCGGAGATCCTAACTTCAGCCTTGCGTCCTCTCGGCGCTTTCGCTTTCTCGCTAACTAACTTCGCCCGGTGCGGCCTCGTCGTCTTTCGTAACTAACTTGTCGGGCCCGAAGCTCGCCGTCTTCTGAGTTTCGCTTTGACGTGTCGCGAGGACAGTAAGAGTCCCTAACTGCAAGCACTGTTTGGGGACCAGGAGCCCTGGAGAAAGAGATATGAAAAAATCCAAGGAACATCGAGCCTCTTCCGAAGCCGGACTGTTCCTTGTTTCGGCGCCTTGACTGTGGTAAATACCCCGGCGGCGGCGGCCCGCTGTGGCCTCGTCGTACCCCCCCGTCATGTCGCGCTTCCAGCCGCGCGCCCGGGCCTCCCGCTCCATTGCCAACCTCTCGTCGCCATAGTCACCTGGCCGACGACGACGACATCGCCGCCGCCGCCAGTCGCCGGTGACGCTGCTCGTCGCCGCCCCCGCCGTCGACTTGTCGTCGTCGTCGATTCGTCTTCGTGTTCGCCCGCACGTCGTCGCGGTCGTCGCCTCGTGGCCGTTGGCGGAGGCGTCGAGCGGGCGGAAGCGAGGGCGGACCTCCATCTGGCCTTAAGTCGGGCCTGTCCCCCTACAGGTGGACTTTCGACGAACAATAAAAAATACCCCCAAAATAATAAAAAAATAGTTCAAAAATGGTCTGGGGACTATTTTTTGAATATTGTTCGACCTTCTTGGGGTATTTTTTTCGTCGAAAATCCCTCTGTAAGGGGACACGCCCGACATAAATCTGGCCCGGTTTGCCCTCCGGTTCGAGCGCAACGGCAACGCCACTGGGGAACCTCCGGAGGCGCCGAGCAGGCGGAAGCGAGGGCGGGCCTCCATCTGGCCTTAAGTCGGGCCTTCAGGGGGACTTTCGACGAAAAATAAGACATACCCCCAAAAGCCCGACATAAATCTGGCCCGGTTTGCCCCCCAGTTCGAGCGCAGCGGCAGCGCCATCGGGGAGCCTCCGGGGGGACTGGCCAGGGCCAGGGTCGGCGCAGGTGGGGGCCCGCCGCAGGCTCCCCGAGCGCCCGGAGCGCAGAGGAGAGGCCGATGAGGCCGGGGCCTCGCCGCCCTGCTTCGGGGCCGCCGCGGGCGGTCTTGCGGCGAGCTCTGGCCCGAGCTGGGGTCCTCCGGAAGGCGCAGGCGCAGGAGCACGAGGCTGAAAGGGAGGGGGGCCTCGCCGCCCTGCTTCGGGGCCGCCGCGGGCGGTCTTGCGGCGAGCCTCTTGGCCCGTGGCCCGAGGTGGGGTCCTCTGGAAGGCCTCGTGGACGCACGGGTGGCACGGGCAAGCCAGGGTCGCCGCGGAGGGGCCTGAGAAAGTCGGCGCGAGCCCAGCATGGGCAGAGCAAGATTGGCATGGCTGTAGGGGGGGCCGAGCGCTTGCTCCCCCTTCTCCGCGTTCGCGCGCAAGCGGGCCGTCGAGGGGAGCACTCGCGAGGGCGTCGGATCATTCCCCTAACAACGTTTGCCATAAAAAGTGTGGCATGTTTGTCGGTCCGGCAACGGTGTGGCCGCCATCGCATGGCCGTCGCTGCCTCGTCGCCGCCCGTCGTCTGGGGCCAACTGTCGGCGTGGCGGTTACGTACCCGCCGTCGCCGTCCCGTCGCCGCCTCGTCGCCGTCCCGCCGCCGCCTCGTCGCCGCCCCGTCACCACCTCGTCGCCGCCCGTCGTTGGGGCCCGTGTGTCGCTGTGGCGGCCGTCGTCGCTGTCGCCGCCCTGTCGCTGCCTCGTCGCCGCCCCGTCGTTGCCTCGTCGCCGTCCGTCGTCTGGAGCTGCCTGTCGGTTTGGCGCCTATGTAGTACAGCCGTCACCGCCTCGCCACCGTCCTGGATTGCACAACGTAGTTGCGCCGAGCACACTACACCACGAGAGTTGCAGCGCATATGTTGCTCCACGTAGATTGCACCACATAGCTTGCACAGTATAAATTGCACTCACTTGGCTGCACCACATGGATTGCACAACGTTGGTTGTCCCACGCAGGATACCACAACAAGTGTATTCTTTTCCACCACGGAATAAATATCGCCCTCCAAAAACTACAAGTTCCCCCTGGGCAATGTGTGAATGGCTTGTGTGGTTTCCCCGTCGTCCGTTCTGAATATGAACGTTTACCATCATACTCAATCAAATCGGTATCGACCCCTTCACCGCAATCGCTGGTCGGACATCACATGTTTGCGAAACCTTCGTGCAACAAGAGTGACGAAACGCACACACGCGCGCGTCGCCACGCGCGCATAACGAAAAAACGTCAAGGACCCGAGGCGCCGTAAAGATAACATGATCGAACGTCCCGAAAACATAAGCATCTCTGGTGTTGCAGCGTGTTCGTCCCAGATTATCTGCGCGCGCTCTTGCGAAATCTTCAAAAAAACCGTGCAAGACAATATTCCTCCATCCCTCCAATGGGTTTGCGCCCTTGTGCGTGCACAAGGCAAACACTAATCGCGCGTGTGGACGGCGAAGTCTTGGGGCGAAAGCCACCAGTATCCCGGCCAGAAAGCGCACAACCCACGAGGGCGGGAGGGCGGGGAATTAAACGCAATCGCAAGCAGCCGGGACTGCAGCACTCGGCGGTGCCAGATGGCGCTCAGCGGCACCAGAAATAGACAACCTGCAGGTATAATTGGGCTTCAACCTTGAACATCATAGCAGCAGCGACGAAGGACCCACGAGTTGGCCTTCAACCTTGAACAGCATAGCACCAGACACGAAGAACCCACGAGCCCCCAGCACCAGAGGCCCGACGGGCAATCCCCAACCTCCTGCATCGGCCCCCGCCGGCTCCCGCGGAGCCGCCAAGCGTGTGAGACAGGGCCACCTGCTCACCCAGGAGAGCACGACGCGCATAAGGCAGGTCGCCTGCCCTGTCAAGAGGGCACCAGGCATGCGAGACAAGCGCGCTCGTCCATTATTGGCACCTGGGCCTCGGAGCGCAAACCTTGGAGCCCCCAGAAGCTAGGAGGAGATGAGTGGATGACCATACGCTCCGTCGTCATATTTTCCTGCCCCCCGAATCGCTTCGCGATTTGGGGGCTAAGAAAATCCCCCCCCCCCCCGCCCCACCCCTCCAATGGGTTTGCGCCCTTGTGCGTACACGGGGCAAACACTAATCGCGCGTCTGGCCGGCGATGTCTTGGGGCGAAAGCCACCAGTATCCCTGCGCACCCCAGGACGTCCTGGACAGACACATCCTGTGCAAACGTGGAGGCCCAATGCACACAGGTGCGTGTGCGTGCGCATGTTCTACCTGCTCTTTCTCCCCCGTCAGTCCTCGCCTGAAGAACTCGAGAATTCAATTAAGAGTTCTGCTTCGGCGAGCGTGCCGCGGGCCTTGGCCGAGGCGCGCGCGAAGGCGGCGACTCCTCGCCAGCCGCCTGAGTAGAAGAAAGCCGCCGAGCCATTCGCCTGTGCGACCTCCGTGGCCCAACCACGGCGAAACACATGAGCGCCCCAGGCTCGCGCTTCGGCGAATCCCAAAGCCTGCGCCGCAAGCTTCAAGCAGGCTAAGGATTGGTTATATGAGATCCCTGAAAGGGAATGCTAGAGTCAGCCAATCTCCGTTTCAAGACACATGTGCCGCATAAGGTCTTCCCTTGCAATGAACAAATGCACCGACGAGACACTTCGACGGGTTCAGAGCAGCGCTTGCGGCTTGTGAGCATAATCCGGATGGCCTCGGCGCCTCCGGCGGTCGCCTCAAGAACCGCCCGCGCCCGAGATTGGCCCAATTGCAGCACCTCTCCGCAACGAAAGCAATAACGCCGCGCCGCGACCCAAGAATCGCCTATCTCTTCGCGACCGTCTCTGTAGCACCACTGCGCCAATTTCCGGGTCTGATCGGCTGTCGCACGGATCTTGAGACGACGACTTGCTCTCCCAGACTTCTCTGCCCCACGCGCCGCGCGCCCTGCGTCGAGCAGCTCCCCGAGAGGCGCCCGCGCCCACCGCAGGATTGCCCTCAAATTGGACAGATATTTGCCGAGAGAAGAAGAACTGCGAGCAAACAAAAATTATCCCGGCAAAGCAACCTAACAGCCATGTGTAGGACCTGGCCGGGGCAGCCGGCCGCCCTCCCCTCCTCCTGGTGCTCTCTCCTCCTCCTCCTCCTCCTCCTCCTCCTCCTCCTCCTCCTCCTCCTCCTCCTGGTGGTCCTCGTTCTCCTCCTCCTGGTGCTCCCCCCCTCCTCCTCCTCGTCCTCCTCCTCCTCCTCCTCCTCCTCTTCCTCCTCCTCCTCCTGCTCGTCCTCGTTCCTGCTCGTCCTCTTTTCTCCTGCTCCTCCTCCTCCTCCTCCTCCTCCTCCTCCTCCTCCTCCTCCTCCTCATTTTTCTCTCCTCTCCTCCTCCTCCTCCTCCTCTTCCTCCTGCTCGTCCTCGTTCTCGTCCTCCTCGTCTTGCTCGTCCTCCTCCTCCTCCTCTCTCCTCCTCCTCCTCCTCCTCCTCCTCCGTCCTCCTCCCTCTTTCTCCTTCTCCTGGTGCTCTCCCCCCCCCTCCTCCTCCTCGTCCTCCTCCTCCTCCTCCTCCTCCTCCTCCTCCTCCTCCTCCTCCTCCTCCTCCTCCTCCTCCTCTCCTCCTCCTCCTCCTCCTCCTCCTCCTCCTCCTCCTGGTCGCTCGTTCTCGTCCTCCTCGTCTTGCTCGTCCTCCTCCTCCTCCTCCTCCTCCTCCTCCTCCTCCTCCTCCTCCTCCTCCTCCTCCCTCCTTCCTCCTCCTGGTGCTCTCCTCCTCCTCCTCTCCTCCTCCTCCTCCTCCTCCTCCTCCTCCTCCTCCCTCCTCCTCCTCCTCCTCCTCCTCCTCCTCCTCCTCCTCCTCCTCCTCCTCCTCCTCCTCCTCCTCCTCCTCCTCCTCATCCTCCTCCTCCTGGTAGTCCTCCCCCTCCCCTCCTCCTCCTCCTCCTCCTCCTCTTCCTGGTCGTCCTCCTCCTCCTGGTCGTCCTCCTCCTCCTGCTCGTCCTCCTCCTCCTCCTGCTCGTCCTTCTTCTCCTGCTCCTCCTGCTCCTCGTCCTGCTCCTGCTCGTCCTCGTCCTCCTGGTCTTGCTCGTCCTCCTCCTCGTCGTGCTCTTGCCCCTGCTGAAAGTGTGGTCCAGGAATGGGAGTTCTGGGAAGTCGAAGAGCACGAAGTTGCCTACAGTTGGCTACGGGCATCCAAAATCTGGCCCGGGAATGGAGTTCTGGGAACTCGAAGAGCACGAAGTGGCCTACAGTTGGCTCCGGGCACAGTTGGCTCCGGGCATTCAAAATGTGGCCCGGGAATGGAGTTCTGGGACTCGAAGACCACGAAGTGGCCTACAGTTGGCTCCGGGCATTCAAAATGTGGCCCGGGAATGGAGTTCTGGGCGAAGAGCACGAAGTGGCCTGTTCTCGGCACCCCGAGTTCTGCGGCACGACCCCCCCCTGTGGAGTCATCTGCTGCTCTCTTTTGAGACCACTAGAAACCTATCAGTCTTCGCTGTTAGGTAAAAACGCAACGAACGCGCCCACCTGTGCATCCGATGGCGGGCAGGGATCGAATCCGTTAAGAGAGCAGCTTTGCCCACGCAAGCGAAGCGCCGAGGCGCAGCCCCTGGCGCTAGCCTTCCAGCCGCAAAGCTCGATCCACTTGACCTCTCTCTTGAAATTCATTCTCGCGGTGCCCCCCGAACACCGCGTCACTTCTGCCCGGGGCGTCTGCTCTGGAGGAGCCAACGTCGACGCATCGACAGCAGTCATTGCGAAAATTGGGTCGGCCAGGACCGCGGGGGGAGGCAATTGCGCAGAAAGACGTATCGTGGTACGAACTTCCAGCGCAGCCGTAGAATACTCTGTTTGTCAGCATCACGAACAACACATGTATTTGCAATATTTGGATTTGCGGCCGGAAGTGCTCTAGCTTGCACGGGGCCTACGGCGGCTTCTGCAGAATAAATATGCGCCTGCGCACAGATGGCAAAACATTGCCAGACAAATGATTCCGGCCAACGCTGTAGAGGGGCCCAAATCATGCAAGCCTCTTCCGCCGAGATGCCTTGGACATCGGAAGGACTGGTGGCGCCTTCGCTGAGCAATTCCAGTTCAAGAGCATCGATCTCGGCCGACTCGCCAGAAACAGCACTGGCGCGGCGCAACGGAGGTGGAAGCCATGACTCCGCACGTGGACGAACATTTCTGCTCCGTTCACCTGCGCTGCTGAGAGCGGCAACCCGGCTGGCATCGAGAAAATTGAACAAACCTCGATGCATCTCGAGCTGAAACGAAGCAGCCTGTGCCGGCGGCTACGGAAACGGAAAGACAATGTTCATGTGGTAACAAAGAAGACTCTCTCAAAGGATTTCGCTTGAGACGCAGTGATAGGCGTCTGCCCCCGCAAGGGAGGAGCCGACAGATGATGGAGATGATCTCTTTATCCACTGCGCTCCGCTGCATGTTCGTCAATGCCCCCGCCATGGCAGGGCAGCTGGCCAGTGCCACGGGATCTGCGGGAATCCTCGCTCCGTGAGTTCAGCGGCAGACGCTGCAACATATTGGTCTTTCGTAGGGCCGCCTGCCAGATTCAATTTGGACGGCGCGCGCGCCGCGTGCAGGAGGGCGCTTGCAGCGGCCGCGCTGAAACTAACATCATTGACAACTTCATTGTAATCATTCTGCCGGATCGCGCCCCAGACGAGAGCATGGGGCGCGACGTTGCCGTCAATAAATGAAACACTTTCGCAATCCTTGAGCCCGTGCTCAATTGGGACTTGCAAGCTGCAGCTGGCGGCCGCCAGCCCCCACAGAAAGATCCGCGCACGGCGCGGCTGAGCCCGGCGATTCGCCGCCGCGGGCGCCAAAGCAGCGGGCCACAAACGCGTAGTCGGATGGGGAAGCACAAGCGCAATCTTCCCATCGCCAGCTGCGTCTGCGCAAACGAAACAGCGCTGCACTTCGCGGGGGTGGAGATTGACGACCCGCGTTGGCAGGAACAGCGAAAACGGCGCCACCACAGGAGTGCGTTCCGCACGCGCCTCGGAATTCTCGCGCCACTGCTGTTAGCTTGACCGTGCAAAGCAGCTAGATAAACCCTGGCCCCTCGGCCAAAAAACTGACGAGCCGCCCCAGCTGAGCCGACCTGCCAAGCGCTTGACCTCAGCTGGTCGGAGAGAATTGGCCTCTAAGGCGCAATCTATATGCCGAGTCCATTTCTCGAGCCTCTCTCGGCAGATGCAAAACGCAATTGCGCCTGGCCAAGCGCGGGCGCGCACTCCCAGCGCAGCGGTGCTGGATGCATCCTCGACGGCTTTCTTTCGATCGAGTTCCCAGCCTAGGAGCTTGATGACCTGGCGGGCGCACTCTGCGGTGCCACTTGGCCCTGCAAACTCGCATGGGTTATCTTCTGTACGATCTGCCGAGAACAAATCATCAGCAAAGCGAGGCGTGGCAATTAAAAACTCCTGCGCTAAGAACGCCTGGGCAAAACCGCCAAAACGATGCCAAGCATGCACCGAGCTTAAAGCCCCGAAAGGACACGCGAGCAGCTGCAGTCCTGAGTGTTCAGCTGCTGCCGCTGCCCACGAAACCACGGCGAAGCGCAAGTGGTCTGCACGAACAGGTAAACTCTTGAAAGCGCTCTTGAAATCTTCCTAGCGGAAGCGAATATCAGCGTGCTCGCCGCACCCTGCGATTAAAGCAGACGCTAAACTAACAAGCGGATCTGGATTGTCCACTGGGAGAGCCCCCCCGACGGACGTAGCTGCATTCACATCGGGATCGCTAAAATCATCCACTAGCCGCACTTTCGGGATCAAATTGCCCTCGGCGTCCTCGCGGAAACCTGCAGCACTCGGCGGTGCCAGATGGCGCTCAGCGGCACCAGAAATAGCCAACCTGCAGGTGTAAGTTGGCTTTAACCTTGAACACCATAGCAGCAGCGACGAAGGACCCACGAGCTGGCCTTCAACCTTGAACAGAGGCCCGACGGGCAATCGGCTCGGGCCAGGCTCGGGTGCTACGTATGTGTTGGGAGGGCGGGTGGGAGTGAGCGAGACGGCTTGCGGGCGGGGAGGGGGTCTTGATCCCTCCCCCTACCCCTCCCCTGGACCTGGACGGGGGGGGGTCGCAAAGTGTCAGGGCGTCTAAAACGGCCTCGGCGAGGAAGCCAACAACAGTGGTTTTACTACGGTTTTGGCTCCATGTAGGCCTCCTGGGGGGGACGCCAATTGAACCCCCCCCCCCCTCACGTGATCGATCTCCTCCCAAATGGCCCCACAAAGCGCACAGGAGGCCCCATGAGGTCCCAAGATGGCCCCAAGATGGCCCCACGAGGCCCCCAAGGGGCCCCCAGGAGGCCCCCAAGAGACCCCCAAGAGGCCCCAAGAGACCCCCCAGAGGCACCCAAGATGCTCCAAAAGGCCTCGGCGAGAATGCCAAAACGGCCTCGGCGAGGAAGCCAAAATGGCCCCAGTTTGGCCCCTGGGGGGGACGCAAATTGAACACTCCCCTCCTGCGATCGATCTCCTCTAAGATGGCCCCAAGAAGCGCCCAGGGGGTCCCAAGAGGTCCCAGGATGGCCCCAAGATGGCCCCAAGAGGCCCCCAGGAGGCCCCCAAAAGACCCCCAAGAGGCCCCAAGAAACCCCCCAGAGGCACCTACGATGCTCCAAGAGGCCTCGGCGAGAATGCCAAAACGGCCTCGGCGAGGAAGCCACTCTCATTGGTTTTACTATGGTGTTGGCGCCGTTTTGGCCTCCTGGGGGGGGGGACGCTAATTAATGCTCCCCTCTGTCTCAAGATGGCCCCCAGAGGCCCCTAGGAGGCCCACAAGAGGCCCCCAGGAGGCCTCCAAGAGACCCCCAAAAGGCCCCCAGAGACCCCCCAGAGGCACCCAAGATGCTCCAAGAGGCCTCGGCGATAATGCCAAATCGTTGATTACACGAAGGTTTTAGCCACATGCTGGCCTCTTGGGGGGGGGGGCACTGATTAAGATCAAGAGCGCCTGGGAGGGCCCAACATGACCTCCAAGATGGCTCCAGATATTCCCAGGATGTTTCAGAATGGCTTCCTCTGTGTGCTGCCCACTTCCCTGATCGAGGCAATTCCTCTGGGCATCGTTTCTGGATGGGCTGGTGGGGATTCTTTTTGGTCGCAGCCGCAAGCGAGAGCGCAAGCGGCGAGTCGAAAGTCCGGGGCGCGGGCCTACTAATTAAAACAGGAGCCAACTAGAGCGGCGTAACCTATACAACTAGCTGCCTAAGCGTCGCCTCAGGTAGGCTGCAAGCTGCACTGAGTGTGGATGCCAGGGCCGGTGGCAGAAAGCGTGTACAAAGCGTCCATGCAAGCAAATGTCCAAGCCGAGCCACGCACAGGTAATCCTGCTGGTGGGGGTTCGCGAAGCGTCAACAGTTTTACCTCCCAGGAGTTGCGTCCGAATCTCAGGGAGCCTCTCAAGAGCTTCCTGGGGCGCCCGAACACCCTCGGGAGGTGAACGCCTCCTGGAAGCCTCTCGCGGAGGCCCCTCTCGGAGGCCTCTCGCAGAAGCCCCTCTCGGAAGCCCCCGGGACGCCCCCCGGAAGGGTCCCTGAAGGGTCTCTGAAGGATCCAACGAGAGGATAGTGTTGACTGCTTCGAAAGTGTGCATATGCAAGTTTACGTAGGATAGCTTCGGGATTCCTTCATCGGGGGCGCGCAGGCATGGATTAGCGATCCATGGATTTGGCGCGCGGTCGCCAAATCCATGGATCGGGGGAGGTGCCCTCCCCGAAATGCGGCCAGTGCCGCCTCTTTTAGTGGTGGAAATCTGTGATTTCCTATGCAAGCGGGACCCGTCGCTAATCCACGCCCCCTTAATCCATGTTTGCGATCGCCTGACTTTAGGATATAGTATCTCCGGAAGATCTCTTAAGGACCTCTTGACAAGATTGGGATTTCTGAAGGACGGTTGGAGCACGCAAAAGGGGGGTGCAAGTTGTCCGGCTGCTGGGCGCGACCCCCCCCGCCCGACTTCGGTGGGGAGGGCGGTTCAAGAGCGCCAGGAAACTCAAGGAAGTGGTGACGGCGGTGGCTCGGACCCCCGCCTGTCCATCGCCCACAGAAGACGCTCTTTCCTTCAAGCGAGTGCCCCCGAATAGGGCAGGCAAACGTTCAAGCGTCGTGCCATCAGTCCGTCCTCCATCTGTCCTCTCTCGCCCCTCTGTCACACTGCTCCTCCGCCTTCGGCTCGCGGGGGCCTTCTCCAGGAGGGACAAATATGCCGAGGACGTAGCCACCTCCGGCCGCAATGGTAGCGAATGCGGGCGCAAGACTATCTCGGCATGCTCGCCTGATCATCCTCCACAGGTCTCCTCCACTGGAGAATGTATATGTGTATGTTTCCGTTCGCAGAGTTGCGTGCATCTATACATACACGTGTACGTACATGTGGATACTATCACACTCACTCACACACACACACACACGCATATATATATATATATATATATATATAAAAATATATATGTATAGCGACCTCCTCCAACTCCCCTTGCTTCTCCTTTATCGCCTCCTCCTCCTCATCCATTTCCATCGGTCCTCGACCTTCTCCCTCGTGTCCTTTCACTTGTTGATAGCGCATTATCCTCTGCTGCTCTGTTTCACGCTGCACGCTTGAAACTCAAGCCCCCGATCACTCTGCGGTGGTAATTACGTCCCTCCATCGTTCCCTGCTCAATACACGTCCCCGTCCACCGTGCACAGAATAAGCATTCCAAAGCTCCTGCCACTGAGATTCCTACGATAATTCGCTAAACATACTTGCGAGAATGCGCCAGCCCCGCTGGCAATCGGTGTGTTGAATATGCCGCCTCCTTTCGTCTTCAATCACGAACGGGTCATGCATATTGGATGCTGAGAAATCAACTTCCTCCCCGAAACCCATCCACAAACCCACTGGCCCGTTGCGCCCGCCAGGTCGCGTACTCCCCGCATGGGACAC